AACGTTGAAAAAAAAATTAAAAAAAAAAAAATACAACACAACATTTAGTAAAAATAATTATTTGACTAAATAAATGGCGTTAAACATCTTTAAATCTCAGTTTTATTTTCTATTCCCAAGAAACTTGACTCTCTTACACCTACAGTGGTTTGAATATGTATGGTCCTAAGGGCCGTCGTGTTCTGCCCAACCCTAACCCCCATCTCCTCACAAGCAATCTCCTGTCTTCTCTGTTAATTCCTGATATTTGCTTTCCATCTGCAGCATCAGATGGGCAAGTCTGTTGTCTTTCAGAACAGAAATCATGATTGGTGCAAATGTTTTTTAGCTTAGGAAATTACTCACTGAACTATCGTTCTTCTGCATCACTGATTTTTTACATTGAGTTATTCCTCTGCTCAGCCTTTAGGAACTTGATGCTTTTTACAAGCTTTTGATAAAAATAATTTATTTTTTATTGACTTATTGATTTACTAGATAGATAGCATGAGTGAGGCAGAGAAAGAATTCCAAGCAGGCTCCGGGCTGTTAGTGCAGAGCCCTACATGGGACTTGAACTCACGAACGGTGAGATCATGACCTGAGCTGAGATCAAGAGTCTGACGCTTAACAGACAGAACCACCCAGGCACCCCCCCCCCTCAAATTCTAATTTTTAAACACACAGCTTTTCCCCCTTCAAGTCCTTTCAAACACAGTTTAATCATATTCAAGTATTTACATGGTAACTGCTTAGGATCACAACTGGTACACTCTCTTGTGTTCTCCCACCTCCTGGTCCCCCTTCTTCTGAGCTTTAAAACCAATGGAAGTCCATTTTATGTTTATCTGCTTAATTTAGCGATGCATTCAAGCTCTAGGGTGTTTCTTAGGTTTGTTTAGTCAGCAAATGGTACTCACATTCCCTCTGCTGTCTTGAGATCTTATCAGTGTCTCTATTTCCATATTCTTCAAGGAATTCGTTGCCTAAATACTAGATGATTTAAGTTTCATTTGCTTTCAGACTTAAGAATTTCTTAAAGAATTTGTCTGATTTTTGATTTGATATGATTAAAGAATAAAGTAACATCAAAAGTAACGTTTTAAAAAGGTAAGCAATTTCCAAATCGCCTCTTCTCATCCTGAGTATAGTAAAAGTCTTTGAAAATTACATTACCATCTAACTTTAAAGTACTGTATGTACAAATGTAGAATACTGGCTTGCTGGTGACTGTTATTCTCCAGAATGTCTGTTTAAGATACTCGTAGGTATCTTAAAAATATGTTGGAATGTTTATGCTTGAGGTTAATCACAGTTGAGCCAAAAAGGTTGTTTGTTTTCCTGGTTGTTCTTTGCATAGATTATACAGTCAGTTAGCCAAGGTTCTAGTTATGGCAAGAAGAGAGAAAACTGCCCACCATTCAGTGCTCATGGAGAACACTGTAATACAGAGGGTTTCTCTCAAGTGGACATACATGATAGCTGGAAAACAGGGAAACCGATACAGAGAAACGTTCTTGTCAGCGAGTGGCCAAAGCCTATTTTACATTTCGAGTGCTGGTTTTAGCTCTGACTTAGCTAAGCAGATTGCTTTTCAAACTCATCAGTGTTAGGCTTACAGAGCTCGAGTCCTTTCACAAGTACCTTGAAACGAGTTTACTCTGTATACCTCAAATTATTGATAACTTGACAATTTGGAATTAAACCTTCACTTTTTAAAACTGTACTTTTTAAATTATCCTAAATGATTCTTTGCCTTGAGTCCAGGCCAGTTTTGCTTCAAATGGGTAAGCATCTACTTGAGAGGTTTAAGACTTTAAAGTCTTCATTTCCTTTCTGATAGAGACAGAGTATATGCCACATCGTGAAAGAACAGCTACATTTTATTCTGTAGAATTACGGAAGCATGGCTTTTGTACATCTTGTTCTCCATGAAAAGACTTTGTTTTTAACTTATCTAATTCCTGAAAAGGATATTGTGTTGGAAGTTGATTTAAAGCTGAAACAGTCTTCAAGAATGAGTAAATGGGTAGAGAAACTCAGGCACTGCACATTTAAGGCAATGAACTTGCTTGTTAAAACTGTGATTTCAAATTGACCTACACGCTTTCTTTGTGTGTCATGTTCCATTGCCTCATCTGAATTTGGGCCATTTCCCAATGCTGTTCCCTCAACAAGCCCAAGAAAAGGAGTATTTTCCACAAACTAGTCTTCATCAACCATTTGATTCTATTCTGAATTTCAACTTTTGAATTTTTCCCATTAAATCTATGGCTTTTATTTAAATCAAGTCTGTTACAGGGATAGCTCTCGGTCTTATATTGTCAAATACCTAAATAACAGCTCATAATTAACATTCTTTCAAAAAGCTAAATGACGTTATAACTAAAGGAATTTGTTGGTAAAGACTGATTTTCATTGGATTTCTTAAAGGGAATATAAAAGTTCACATTGTTTTATTCAAAGACATACCTAATTATTAAATAATTACCATAACTTTAAATAGAGAAAGAAACTTCTTTTCATTGAAATTTGTAAGCCTGTTTAAGAAGTCATTTGGCTTTAAAGTCTCCTTGGAATTCTCAGGTAGAAGGCATGTGGAATTTTTTTATTAGAAGCTCACCTTAAAATGAATCTTTGCCTCTGTGCCCAAGAAAACTAAAAGAAGAGAGTGTCTGGTAACAATAACCACAATTGCCTCTTACATGGTTTTTCTCATAGCAGGTCTTGGCAAAACTCTTATTCCAAAATGTTTTTGCTAATTTTTTCCCCAGATAATGGATTCATACCTGAATCACTTCTAGAAGATGTGATGAAAGCATTGGACCTCGTTTCAGATCCTGAATAGTAAGCTAAATAGGAAGTGTTATTTATGTGACTCAGACTCCATCGCTTTTAAAACATTAGAAGTTGAAGTAGGTGAACTAGTCCAATAAATGGTATAATCCTAATTACTCTGTGTGTGCTAAACTGATTTCCAAGTGGAGACCATCTTGTTTATATCACTGTAATTTGCAAAAGAAAACTGAATTCAGGCAATTTTGGTTACTGACAATTCTTAGGGAAAGGAGGGAAAAAGTTTTGTGGTGTTTTTTTTCCCGTATTCTTACATAGGTGGCTGTATATCATCTACCTAATTTTCCTTTTTTCATCAGAATACATAACATACCTTGAATTGTGAAGTTAGTACACTTGAGTTAGATTGTTTTTCTAGAAGTAGCTGACAGATTGGACTGAGTTCTTCATTCTGTATATTGGTCCAGTCACATTTATAATATGTGATGGCCTATAAACTAACAGGACCCTATTAAGGATTAATGAATTAAACATATTAAATATGACCTTGTCTATTTGTTTCATGTCCTAACCTGCTGCCCTTACTCAGACATTCAAATGTCTTACCCTTTGCATACTATATATAATAAGGTATAATTAACCTGGCATTTATAACTTGGGAGAGAAGGTGGAAAATGAAAATTTTCTAAAAAGACCATTTTCACTTTTAAAACTTTGCCTTCTTTCTGGTTACATATAACACCTTTCACCAGCCTTGGCTACACCTGCATGTTAAGGGCCAAGCAAAGCAGCCTTCAATCCAGGCTGCTCCTGGAACGATATGGTCCTTGCCCCTGCTCTAAGTCACTGCACTTGAGCTCTTTGAGAATTATCCTACCTCTTTACCCTTCAGCTTACATTGACTAAGAATTTCAAGGTTCCCTCTCATTTGGTTCTTAAAGGTAAGATTTTTAGAGATGTTTCTGATGATCTGATGTAGCACTGCCTTTCGATGTTGTTCTTTTTTCTCTTTGAGCTTGAATGCAGACATACCTATGAAGCAAAGAGAATTTGCCTTTGGGAGGTTATAAGCCTGAGTTTATAAGCCGAGGTTTTTAAATTACTTTACCTAATAAGGAACAATATTCCAAAGTCATCATCGTAATTTAAATTCTAAATAGTAACAGATCACTCTGGTTTAAAAATAACCAAGTTTTGGCAAATTAGATGTCATTCCTGTGTATTTGTCATTAAGGGTCTAAAAAGAACAGTTCTTATGATTTTTGGCAGTCAGATGTGTTACAGTGCTAGTAATTTAACCATGAAAGAAGAAAAGTGAGCTTTTTTTCCTTTGGTATCCACTGTTTTCCTTTTTTTTCTTCTTCTTCTTCCTATAGTATAAATCTCATGAAGAATAAATTAGATCCAGAAGGATTAGGAATCATATTATTGGGTCCATTCCTCCAAGAATTTTTTCCTGATCAGGTAACATTGTTGAAGAAATTCACTTACGGTTTTGTTCCATTGGGATGAGCGTTTTTTTATTGTTTCAGTACAGTAATGCAACACTTGCGGGGTGGGGTAGTGGAAAAATGGACGCACATCAGTATATACATACCATGATACTGTTCTTCTAGAGGAAGCATAACATTCAGAAGTATGTGGAGTAAAAAGACAAAGATGCTCTTTATCCACTTGCACCCCTATTTTCCTTCTCTCAGGTCACTGTTGTTCATAGATGGTCTGCATCATTTTACAATTTTTAAATACATTTAAATAAAGATAAAGAGGTTCATATGTAGTGGAAACTGCTGAGGTCCAGGACAATTTTAGTTGAGTGAAAGAAGAACCTTTGAGTGGAGTTGTTTCCTATTAGGACATGTGTTCCATCCGCATCGTTGACAAAGCCAGTTGTACAGCCTCTGCCTGTGTCTTCTTCATGCTTCCTATCCCAGTGAAGGATTTTACTGCTAAACCAAATACTTGAGTCAGGTGTATGGGGATCATTTCATCAGATACCAGCCTGGCTTAAGTTAAAGATTATTGTTTCAATAGAAATGCCAGTTTCTCTTTCACGTGTCTTACAAAGGAGACATACTGTCAAGAAGCAAAATTAGAACAAAATAATGGAGGGAAAATGTCAAGATAGAATTGTTAATTTGATATTTCAGGTTTAAATTATCTTTAACAGAGTAGACGATATTACTGACATTCACCCTCGGTAATTAAAAAAGAAAAAGGAACCCACATTTTCTAAATCTGGATCGCCTACCATGAGTAAAGAAAGTGGGGTGAACTTCAAAAAGTAACTTTATCACAAGATCTCTATTAGACTTCTCAAAATTTGGGTAAATGCTTCATGAAAAAAAATTTTTCTTTTTCCGGACATGACTAGAATGTCCACTGGGTTGTGATGGCCAATCTGTTCACACTCCCAACTACCAGCGTTTTCTGAAAGTTCTTTTCTGGAACCTAATACTCTGTTTTAGACAGGTTAATAAATGTTCAGTAAGTTATAGCACTTTATAGCATTAAATTAAAAATTGCACTAAATTTAGGGCAGGATTTTGAAAATCCTGGCGAAATGTAAATGAAGGGGGATAGTTACCATGTCTTTTGGAAATATACATCTTAGATGTAATTAATTACATGATAGGACTTACAAGTATTCTAAGAACTCATTAGTTCAAGAACATTTTTTAATTGTAGTATTCCTTGAGCTATTTAAAGATAAATTTAGTCCCCTTGCCTTTCAAAATGTAATCTTCCAGAGCTTGTCAGAAATGCAGATTCTTGGGTTCATCCCCAGCCCTAGGGAATCAGAAGCCCTCCAGAGGATTCTAATGGTGCCATTGTTTAAGACCTGCTGCTTCAGAGGAAGACTTGTCACATCCCCACCTAGTCACATTCATTTATACTGCTTTGTACCCAACACATCAATATGGTAACACTCAGTAAAGTTGTAAAACTGGGCTCAGAAGGACAGCCAGGAAAACATTTCTCTAACTTCTGTAATCTCTACAAATGCTTAAAGTAGGCAGTAGGGAAGAGCCTTTCTTTGCCTCAAGGAGAGGCAGATTGGAGGGGAGGGCAGGTGGAATACAGGTAAGCATTTCAAGGCAATTTGTTAATAATAATAGCAGAAGCAGCTACCATTTTTTGAGCTCACAACTGTGCATGAGGTACTGTCTTATAAATTAGGTGCTATTTTCACCCATTTTGGCCATGAGGAAGTTGAGGATTAGAGAATTTCAGAAAAATGCTTGAGGTCAGTTAGACCGTGGCTGATTGAGGAGTCCAGAGTAGGTACTTTGCCACCATGTCACCCTACCTTCTGCTGGTATTTCAGTATTTTCTCCCAATTGTTAGGTGGAACTAAAGAATATAGATTGTGTAGCCAGGACAGTGAAATACTTTCTAAGTTAAAGTACATTAACTCTGAAAAATAAGCAGCCAAATTATCTAAGTAACTAATTATATTGACTGATGTAAACAATTAAGAAAATGATCAAGTTATTTTTCTATTTCTTGTAAAGCATTTTGAGTGGGATAGAATTTTTGGTAGAAAACTTAAAAAATGAATGTGCAAAGAGCTGAGCACACCAGGTCTTTCATGGGAAATGACTAATATGTCTGTCCTAACAGAGAATTCAGAAAAGTGAATAGCCAGAGATTCAGCTGAAAAGATAGACTAGGTCCTGTATTTTAGGATGCTTCATTGCAAAGCACAGCCTGAATTGACTGAAGTCAGGGGAAAGGTCAGAGCTGCGGGGAGTAGCTTAGACAAACTCAAGAACTGAAGTAGCGAGCCTCCAGGAAGGCAGTCGGGCCCTCTGCCATCCTTGCCAGCATTCCTAGCATCTCTCTTCTCTACATTCCAAAACGAACAAATTCTAAGGCAGACTGCAGGACCAGCTTCTGTCCCATGTGCATCCTTGTATCCAATACGGCAAGGAAAACAAGGCCACAAGCCCTGTGGGAAATCACTGGAGCCAGGTGCGCTTGGTGGGGCCAGGCCACTGATGGCCTTGAATGCACCAGTTCAGAGAATTGAACTTGATCTTTAGCTGAGAACCCAGGATAAGGCAGCTGAGCTAACATCATCAGACATTCCTGAAAGTTTAGTATAATAGCAAGTTATAGGATTTCCTTTCTTTATTGGATGCCGTTATAGGTTCTGAACGCTATAGTTTTGCTTTTCATTTCCCACAAGGCTCTTTTCGCTATTTAAAAATTGACAGTATTTAGATGAAGTGGGTGGTGTGGAAACCCCTAATTTGATATTGTGAGCCAAATGAGAAGTACTGATGTCTAGCTGTTGATTGCAGGTTGACAAAAAGTGACGTTACTGTTCTTAGGTAGTTATTGAGAGGAACAAATTATTTACAACCAGAAAAAAAAAAAGGCAGAGATAATATTTTACAAAACATATGGGTGTTTTGGAGTCTTATCCTTTAAGAAAATATACACTAATGCATGGCACACAGTTAAAAATATAAACTAGTATAGAAGAGCTTATAATAAAAATAAATACTTTCCCACTTTGCAACCTCTTCCCCAGAAGCAACTAGTTCAGCTCTTAGGTTTTCTGGTAGATGACGTCTAGTAAGTTTCTTGCTGTATCAAACAATTCGCCAAAGAGTAGGGATTTAAGCAACTTGTGTTTTCGTTTCAACTGCTAATTAGGAATTGCTGAATATCAAAGTATAATTTAAAGTTTTAATAGTCTTTTATTTATAATAGGGTTCCAGTGGTCCAGAGTCGTTTACTGTCTATCACTACAATGGATTGAAGCAGTCAAATTATAATGAAAAGGTATGATAATTCACATAGTAATTTGTCTTCACCTGAGTTGGTAAATATATTCAGTATATGTTAGTCATTGAGATCCTCATTGGAGTTTTGGAACAATAGTTTCACTGTGACAAAACAGCTAACTTGATCTGCATATGTTTTATTGCTCTCTGCTATAGAGATATTACCAAACCAAGTTTCACCCAATGATAGTTACTGATCTGTTTAAATTAAGAAAGGGGTAATGGTAAGATTTTTGATTGAGGAAAATATTTTTAAGTATTTAATAACATAATAGCTACCATTTATTGAGCATTTACCTGGAATTCTATTAAATACTTTATCTGAAGTTTCCCACCCTCCCTGTGGAGTAAGTATTGTTTGTGTATCCATCCCCATGTTACAGAGGAGGAAGTGGAAGCCCAGAGAGGTAAGCAGCTTGTCAAGGTCAAGCAGCCAGGAAATGGCAGAGCTAGGATTGCACTTGAGGTAGTTTACCCCGGAGCCTGCATTTGAACGTGCTCCACTTTGCTGCTTTCCTTTGTAAATCATTGACAACTGCACACAGGTGATTCACTTCCACATGTACTCTGGTTCTACCTGGTTTAAGTCAAACGTTTGGGTAATTAGCTTTGTTTGCACATAAAATATATAGGGAATATTTGCATTTATTCAATTAGCTACTATTAGAAGGAATAAGGCCTAACATACCTTTTTAATTTGAAATACCCATGCTGGTTTCATAAGTAAATTGAGGATGGCTATACACAATCGTAGTGTACATCAAATCTAAAACTGAGACTGAAAGTTACTTTTTCATGACGAAATATGAGTGCAAAGATTTTTTTCACAAGATAAATTAGAACAGAGCATCCAAGTTTTTTTTTTTTTTTTTTTTTTTTTTTTTTTTTTGCTATAGATGTTGATGAGTGCTTCCTCTAGATTTTGAAGTTTTACATAACCTTGTAATAGGAGGTATTGTATGGTCATTAATTAGTTATTTGCCTACACAGTCCCTGCAAGGTAAGTCAAGTATTATTCATATTTTACAGATGAGGCATCAATGACAGGGAAATTAAGTGACTCACCAAGTCATTGGCAGAGCAGGGATTGGAACTGAGTTCCTGATTCCCAATAATGTCCTTGGTCTACTCGGCCATGCTACCTGTATATAGTAAGTTCTCAAATCATGCTCATGACAAGCATCTCACTAACACAAAGATCCGAAATCAAGTATTAATGGGACAACAGGATGTAAGTACTAGAAAGCAAAGCATGTATGTTGTTAAGTTGTATACATATATGAAACAGAAATACGATGAGCAGTACTACTTCCCACAGGGTAGGGTCCTACCAAAAATATCTGAGGCAATAAACAAACATTAGAATGCTGGCACTGTAGGAGGGAGTATGATCCAGCCACCACAGGCTGGCTGAGGCCACAGAGGTAGGTCCTAGTACTTTGCCCAAGAAGGTCTGCTCCAATGCCAGAAGCAAGTGAAGTTCCTTATGAAAAATAGGTCCTATTTTATCTGATAATTGTAGTAAAACTACAACTCACACTTTTCAAGTTTCTTTCATCAAAAGTAGAAATAGATTCACCAAAATAAAGATGCAAATGTGTTTTTACAGAAACTTGTTTCTTTGGGCTGCTTAGTCCAACAGCTTACAGCTTTTACATTGGACGAACATAATTACAATCATGTGTATCCAACACTGAATATATAAAAATACTTATACGTACTTTGGAAGAAGGCGGTCTGTATCTGTTCCTTTTAGTTTCTCTTCACGAAATGAAATTGACTAACTCATTTAATGTACACGGTGAGCCCATTTAATGAGTTCGGGTATTAGTATATTATTTCATAGAGAGTTCTAAAAGTTCATTGTAAATTAAAGTTTCTTCCAGTAGCCAACTGCCCATGTGTACTTTATATGATCATTACCACTGTATATAAAATACCTGGTTAGTTTTATCTGTCAAGCATTTTCTACTAAGCAAATTGCATTGACACACATTCAAGTTGCCTCCAGTTCTGGAACCCTAACACTTTTAAATTCAGAATATATACCTTTGTTTCTGTTACAGTGCCTTCGTTATATAAATAAACATTTCTTCCAAGTGGTGTATGTTAATTAAAGGATGATTATCGTAAACAACCTGCATGTGCTTCAGGATTCACATAGACTTTTTGTTTCCTTTAAATCATGAGCTAAAAATCAACTGATAAGCTCTCAGTTACAATGCCTATCACCCTCGTTTCCAAATATATTTTCCCATTAGTCAGCAGGCATTCTTGCTCATAATTTCTATCAAAGTAAAATTCAAGTTCCAGATGAAACAATATGCAATACCTTGTTTGTCAGCATATCCCTCCTAAGAATTTGCTAAGAATAGTGATTGACCTTTGTGGCTTGATTTTGTTCAACAGGTCATGTATGTTGAAGGGACTGCAGTGGTTATGGGTTTTGAAGATCCCATGCTACAGACAGATGACACTCCTATTAAACGCTGTCTCCAAACCAAATGGCCATACATTGAGTTACTGTGGACCACAGATCGCTCTCCTTCACTGAACTAACTTGCCTACGGATGTAGAAGAAAGTTCGTAATAGCAGATGTTGAAAGAGGGATGCAGGACAGGCGGTTGGCTACATTAAGCTATACACTGGTATCATCAACTGTAAATAACAATTAAAAACACATGTTCAGTGTTTAAGATAGTTTAAATTATTTGTTTTAAAGCTTTATGTTAAAGGTTACCCTATTTTAACTCTTTATGTGAAATTTACTAGCAAAATTAAGCTTTAATCAAAGTTCATCACTTTTACAGTCGGATAATTGGTCATTTATCAAATTAAAAACATCCTAATACTATATAGTATTTGTATATTGAGCAGAGTTACTCTTTATAAACTTCTACTTTGGGTTTTTATTTCATTCAGACACAGTTTATTATTTCAGTGATCCTGGCTTGCACTCTTTCAGCCTCCACATGGAAAGGCAGAAGAGTTCAATCTTATTTCTTTTCTAAAATCTGGTTTCCATTAGAAATACTGATAAATTATCAACCTGGATTCTTTGCCAATTGGCTTAGCTCTGGCATGTTTATAAAAAGTAGAAACTATAAGGAAACATTACCATTTATTCACTGATATATAGAGAACATATCTCAAAAAAATGATAGGTAAGAGAATCTGTTTGATAGTCTTAACACTGTTAACTGTATTGCCAAATACACTTTTCCAAATTTGTCCCAGCAGCCTGTAAGCCAGCTTTCTTGTATATTTATGTGATAAATGCATGAGAACATCTGTTATTACATTAGTATATTGCATTATTTATTATTATGCTGGTGGATGGTCTAAATAAACACTTTTTTTTAACTGTAGCTTTGCATTTTTTACATTAGCTACTCAGAAGACACTAATACTTCACAGTGTTTCTGCCCAGCAGAAAGTTCTTGAGCTTTCTATGTATGATGTACTCAACAACAAATGCCTTGAAAAGTGAGACCAAACCGTATGCTGACCTAAGAGCTCTATAACTTAGCCAGCCCGGAGTGCTAGAACCTGAGTAGACAAAGCTTCAGAAGACCTATCCTGTCTAGAGAAATTTACTTCAGGTTTGTTGCCTAGCAATTTGAAATGTGAATAGCCAGAAATTGTTTCTTTCCTTCACTTGGGAAGTATTTCTCAAGAGAACTACATTTTATCTTCACTGTTTAGCTGAAGGTGTATTTCCTCTGTGAATTTACTTGGGGTTTTATTTAATTGTCATAGATGTTAACTATTCTAATATAAGTAGACTTTAGCATAAGAAAAAAGTGGCACACGATTTTATGTATGACTTTTGGTGATATTATGTTCAGGACTGTGATTCTAGCTACTAAAATTACAGCTGTACAATGTCTTTTTGGCTGTTGTTAATCTTGGCTACTTCCAAATGTATATAAAACAAACTCAGGTCCTAAATTCCATAGGATTATGTAAAAGCACAGATTTTCTCAGAAACATTGAGCCTCCAAAATAGCGTATACTTTTTACTATTGCTACCTAACCAACCATCCCCAAACTTCATGTCATTAAACAATCATTTTACAAATTCTGGGTCTGAACAGTTTAAACAGAGCACAGAGGAGAGAGCTTGTCTCCTTCTCAATCTACAGGTGCAGCTGGGAGACTGGAAGGGTCTTTCCTCACATGACTGGAAAAAAAAAAAAAACTGTGGATCCGTTTTCTTTATACATGCCTGTGGGACACTTACCAAGATAGACTATATGCTGACCATAAAGCAGTCAAGAAAAATCTCTAAAACTTTAGAAATTAAGCAGTACACTTCTGAATAACCCAAGGGTCAAACTTATAGATGTAACTAAAGCAATGCTTGGACATGAACAGCTTTAAATACATTAGAAAAGTAGAACGCTTGGAAATTGGAAAGGTAAACTTTCATCTCAAACCCAAAGTACACCAAAGAAAGTAAACAAGATTTTTTGAAAAGGGTATTCGCATGCAAAGGAACGAATTTGTACTCCTACCTCACACTATGTGCAAAAAATAAAATCATAAGTCTAATTGTAAAGCCAAAAACTATAAAATTCCCAGAAGGAACAGGAATAAGTCTTGGTGACCTTGAACTCAAAGCAATGGTTTCTTAAAATACCAAATAAAAAACAGGTATTTTTAAATGGGCAAATGATTTGAAGAGACATATCTCCAAAGATGATACACAGATGCCCATACAGCCATACTGTAAACACATTAAAAGATTCTCAACGTGGGGCGCCTGGGTGGCGCAGTCGGTTAAGCGTCCGACTTCAGCCAGGTCACGATCTCGCGGTCCGTGAGTTCGAGCCCCGCGTCGGGCTCTGGGCTGATGGCTCGGAGCCTGGAGCCTGTTTCCGATTCTGTGTCTCCCTCTCTCTCTGCCCCTCCCCCGTTCATGCTCTGTCTCTCTCTGTCCCAAAAATAAATAAACGTTGAAAAAAAAAAAATTTTTAATAAAAGATTCTCAACGTAGTCATAAGGTAAATCAAAACCACAAATTACCATTTCACACGCAGTAGAATATGTAAAATCAAAGAGATAATAAAGTCTTGGCAAAGATGTAGAGAAAGTGGGTCCCTTGTGGGTGGAGATATGAATGATGAAATCACTTTAAAAAAATAAGGTGTACAGTTTCTCAAAAAGCTAAATACAGAGTTAGCATATGATTCGGCAATTCAATCCTAGCTACATATATTTACACAAAAACTTTTACGTAGGTATTCATAGTGATGTTATTCATACTAGCCAAAATTGGCAACAGCCTAAATGTCCTTCAAATAATGGAAGGATAAATAAATGTATTATGTACATACAATTAGTATTATTTGACAATACAAAAGAATTACTGACACATGCTACAACATAGATGAACCTTGAAAATATTAAAATAAGTTAAAGAAGACTGTCACAAATGACCACATATATGATTCCATTTATGTGAAATGTCCAGAATGGGCAAGCCATGGAGAGAGCAAGGGGATTACCAGTCACCAGGGGTTGAGGATAAATGGAGTAGGGAAACAAGTGGAGAAAAACTGCTAATGGAGTTTCTTTTGGGGATGATAAGTGGGATAGATAGTGGTAAGGTTATGTAATTGTGAATATACTAAAAAATACTGAATGGTGATAAAGACGAAAGGAGAAAATTGAAATAGCTCATCTAGAACAAGAAAAAAACAAATCTAGACATTGGCTCACTAACAAAAACTGATAAAATTGTAAACCTAGCAAGACTGATGAAGAAAAAATGAAAAATAAATTAAGATTAGAATGAAAAAGCAAACATAACTATAAATTCTCTAGGTGGTAAACTGAAGGGGATTATGAAGCACCTTACACCAATAATTTCAAAAATTTAGATGAAATGGGCTAATTTGAAAAAACAGAACTGACATGAGAAGAAAACTTCACATCCATGAAAGGAGTTTGATCAGTATGTTAAAGCTGTCTCTCAAGGCAAACTATTGGCCTAGAGGACTTCACTAGCAATGCTTCCAAACATTGAGAAAAAGAATACAGATTGTAGACAAGTACTCCTGGGAAATAGACAAAAGAGTAACTATTGGTTTTATGAAGCCAAAATGACCCTGAGAGGACCCCAGAACCTGAAAAAGACATCACAAGAAAGACTACAACCAAATATTTTCCATGATCATGGACACAAAAATCCTATACAAATATGAAACCCAGGAGTAAATTCACAGGTGTATGTGTACACGTGCTCATATGCAATACATAGTATTGTAGAAGTATTAAGTTCATTTCAGACTTTAAAAAATCAGTATTTTTTCTAATGTTAACAGATATAAAAGAGAAACCCATATGATTATCTCAAAAGAGAAAAAGCATTTGATACAAAAAACTATTCGTGATTTTAAAATAATCTCAGGAGAGGGAAGATGGCAAAGGACAAGGCCTGAGCTCACCACTTCCCATTGACACAGTGAAGAAACGACTACATGTATTGCAACACACTGCAAATGACCTGAAGACTGGCAGAACAGATCTTCCACAACTAAAGTCATCAAGAGAAAGCCGTGTTGAAAAGAAAATGAAGAGCAGAGACATGGTAAGGAACCAAACCATCAGGGTGGCTACCCACCACTGGAGAGATACCATGAGCAAGACGAAACAAGGGGGTCAAGCCCCACACTGGGAATCCTCATCCCTGGAGACCTGCACCACAAAGATTAGCCCCTATAATGTCTGACTTTGAAAATCAGCAGGACTTAGCTCCAAGAGAGCTAGAGGGCAATAGGAACCCAGTTCTCTAAAGAGCCAGCATGCTGTGTAACACCACAAGACCCAATGCAAGCAAAGTTTGAAAACTGCCTAGGTTAAATGTAAAGGAGATTTACTGACTAGTTTTAGGATGTATGCTATAGGGGCAAGTATTTGCAGGAGCTTTCTCCAGGAACAGCAGTGCTGGCACATGCCATTTTCTGGGCCCCCCTTCAGCCTAGATAGCCAGATGCCTGTGAGGCCACTTCTGACACTTCCCATCTACCTTACTAGCACAGCTTGCCCCACCACAACATTCCCCTGTGGACCAGCCCCATGCAACCCACCTGCCTGCCCCTGCAAGCCCTTTTGAAATCACTTTCTGCGTTGGGGATGGGACCGAGCTAACCCCAAAATCACTGCACCTGCCGTACCTGCAACCAGGCCCTCAGCAAGATGCACTGTAGGTAAATTCTGCCTAGCAGTACACCCACAGCAGCTGTAGCAGGGCTTCTCAACCAGCCATGCAGGGGACAAACACTACCTACCAATGAGTGCATAGCACTCATGGCTCAGTCACAACAGAGGAGCCCACACAGCCCACAGGAGACCCCTGGGAGTGCCTGGTTTTGGTGACCAGGGAGGATTGCACTATAGGGAACCAGAGGATACCTTCTCCATAAGAACAATACTTTGAAGATGAAAAGACATAGCCGACCTACCTAATAAATGCAAACCAACAGAGTCAGACAAAATGAGGAAACAGAGGCCTATCTCCCAAATGAAACAACAAGATAAAACCATAGAGAAA